GAACTTGCATTGATCTGTTCCACAGTCAATATCTGACTATGTCTTTGATACTAAAGGTGGAAGAGCTCCTCCACCCACAGTCAATTTGATTTCAATATACCTACTTAATCTTTTTGATGTCTGTGTATGGAGGTACCATTTTTAATGTTTGAAGACATTGTCAGCTATGAAGAAATCTTTGAAGTGACAAAAAGTGAGAAGTTGGTTATTTTTTGTTTACTAAACCACATAGTCCAATTATATTTTCTCTTTTCATGTTTTTAACTTCGGCATTCCAGTTTTTAATCTAAGAAGCACATTTCTGCATGCATATTCTGTAAATTTTAAATTAAACTTGCTCATCAACTGCATCTACCCTATTCCAAAATATGTGTACTCCCTTTTCTCTTAAAATAGAGTTAACATTGATTTTATAATGCATCTTATTTTAATATTCCAGCTGATTAAAAAAATAGCACATATTTGAACACGTATATAATTCCACTTGGTAAATATCAGAGTCAACCTTCCAAGTTTCAATCAAACAACTTTAATATATTAAAACACTAGTTATCTTTGTTGAGATATTCAGATATGGCCTTTTGAGTGAGTTCAACAGTACCTTTTACAGATTCAGTTTGTTTATTTGTAAAATATAAGTATCTTATCTGCATCTTCACAATTACCTTGCATGTAAACTGTATCCATGTCCTCATTTCCCCCATCTTTTTTTCCTTTGCTTCATCCCACTTTGAATCACGGATTCAGTTTAAACCATTCCATGCATCTTTAAAAGTAAGCTGCAGTTCATGAAATTTTATACTTTTAATAAAATATGTTAGTCTGAAAAGGTGCTGCCAGACTCCTGATCACTGGAATACATGTGACTCATTATATAGTACACTGGTCTGCCATTAATCTTTAAATATTTACTTTATTTATTTAATGTTATTTTTTTAAAAGAGTAGGCAAAAATATATTACCACTTTGGTGTTAAAATTCTATATATTGGAAAATCTTTAAAAATTTATTAACAACTTTAAATCATTTTATAAATAAGCTCATTTTTTCATTTCTGTGACATTGCACAAGTGTGTGTGTGAGTGTGTGTGTGTGTGTGTGTGTATTTTCTTAAGTTTTCACGGGTACTTACATGTATGGCATTCAGCTTTGTTCGGGTATTTTCCCACGTCATTGTAGTTGTGCTTTTAAAGTTGTAGCAATGTTTCGGCAGAATCTCATCTACCATCATCAGGCTTCTGATTGTGTCCATCTGTGAGTCAGGCCCCCAGAGTTGTTTCAGTTTTAAATTTGGGGCAGCCTATTGCTGTGTCAGAATGATTTTTTCTTCATCCGGATTGGTTGGGAATCTAGGTCTGTGTTTATTGGTCTTGGAGTTTGCTGTGTTCTGCTTGATTGGTGTTTCTAATATCTTCTGTCTGTTTAGTGGCTCTTTTTGTGTCTTGATTGGTTGGCAACATTGTGTTCCTTTATTGGAGGCCTTTTGTGCAGCTTGGCTCCAGGTAAATGGACAGCTATCATTTGTTAGAAAGCTAGGTTTCATCTGGGTGCCTGGTTGGGGTGTGTTTGAGCTGGAGGTATCAGGGGGGATCTGTTTGTGCCCAGGTGTTTGTCTGGCTAGTGGTGTGGAGATTTTTTTGTTTGTGAGTGCAGGCTTCCAAATGATTGACAGTCTGGTGGAATCATCTCTTCTATTCATGCTTTCTGGTCTTTTTTCAATCTCTATGGCTTCTCTGATGATTCTGTGGCTGGGGTTTTCTATAGTGGCTAGGGTTTTTGTGCCATTGAAGTTGATGCTATGACCTGTGGCTTCCATGTGTTGGACTAGTGAGGAAGTGTGTTCCAGCTTTTTGACTGCATTTTTGTGTTCATCCAGGCAGGTACTTATTCTTCTATTGGTCTGTCCAATGTATGTGGCCGGGCATGATGCACAGGGGACTTCGTATATGCCTTGGTTTTCCAGGTCAATTTTATCTTTGGGGTTTCTAAGGATGGCTGCTATTTTTCTGTCTGTTTTGAAGGCAGTCTTGATATGATGTCTGTGTAGTATCTTACTGATTTTGTCTGTAGTGCCTCTTATGTAGGGCAGGACAGCTTTTCCATAGGTCTGTTCATCTTCTGGGTCTCTATTATGTCTCAGTGTGTTTTTGTGGATCAAGCCGGTAATTTTGCTTTTGTGGAAGCCGTTGGCTGTCAGTACTTTAGTCAGGGTGCATAGTTCAGTCTTAATGTGTGTCTTGTCTGCCAGGCATTTGGTCTAGTAATTAGTGTTTTGGCCATGGAGTTGTAGCAACGTTTAAAAGCACAACTACAATGACGTGGGAAAATACTCGAACAAAGCTGAATGCCATACATGTAAGTACCTGCGAAAACTTAAGAAAACACACACACACACACACACACACACACACATATATATATATGACTTTTTACTGGCAAATTAGAACTATTACTGTATCTGATACTAATGAAACTGTCAAAAGAGAAATAGAGGGGAATAGCAGGACATAAATATTTGATGAAAACACAATTCCCCTATCTCTCAAATCTTAAAAGAAATATCTGAACTGTGACTTTCATGATGGAAGACTATCCTAAGGCAATCTATGGAGATGGTCCTACTCTTACTTAGAAAAAAAAAAAGAACAGGTTTTCTGTACTCTGAAAAAGGAAAGCATACAAGGCAATAATGATTTGATGATCGTGTAATGAATTTCTTGTAAAAAGGAACTAATAAAGCATTGCAGGGTAGACATCTAGTACAATAGTATTTATATAGGACTGAAGAAGAATGGAAAAGAAATTGCTTATAAATTTAGTTCTTCGTCTTTCATCCTTTACGCTTTGCTGCAGTTTCAACCAGTTTACACTGCAAATTCTTATTCAGTAATTTGGCCTGAAGTCTTGTGAATCCATTGTGGAAATGACATCAATCTTTTGCTAACATAGAAGCAGACATTGCATATATTTCCAGCTTATTCAGAAGCACAGCTGACACTCATATTCATACTTTGTGGCACTTTGTAGCTATTTGTAGTTCCTAAGTGCAATAGCCTTATATACCGCTTCACAGTTCTTTACAGCCTTCTCTAAGCTGTTTGCAGAGTCAGTATACTGCCCCCAACAATCTGGGTCCTCATTTTACCCACCTCGGAAGGATGAAAGGCTGCGTCAATCCTGAGCCTGGTAAGATTTGAACTGCCAAATTGCAGGCAGCCTGCAGTCAGCAGGAGTAGCCTGCTGTACTGCATTCCAATGGTCAATTCTGCATGAGAGAATATATCCCAACTACTGCATTCTCAATAAAGTCTGCCTCAAACAAATTTTGTGTTATAAAAAGAACTGGTACTAAGGTAAAGCTGGGTGGCTAAATATTAGATGGTAGATGTCTATTCCTGTAACAGTCACTGCTGCTTCTCTTAAAGTGTTTAAGTGGTAAACTTAAACTGTTCATTTGTTTTGTTTGGTAACAGAAGAACACTTAAAATATATTCAAGGGAATAAATGTATTTGTTATGCAAGGGTAGTTTCTACATTTCAGTTTTTCACAAAAATTAAATAAACGATGTACTTAGCAAGGGTAACTGGAAGATTTTTTTTTAAGAATGTGCGTTAGAATTATCCTTTGTATACCCATAACAATATTGTAAAGCAAAACTATGTTTCTTGAAATGAAATATTTTCCTTGTTCTTAATTTTTCTAGATTAAATGATTTAATGCCATATTAAAAATGTTAAAAAAATTTATAAGATATGATATCACATGGCTTGTCTAACTCCTGCTTCAGTTCTAGAATCTCTAATAATAACAGAATAGCAAAATAACAGAGTTAGAAGGGATCTTGGATGTCTTCTAGTCCAACCCCTGCTCAAGTAGGAAATGCTATATCTGTGGTAGTGAACCTATGGCATGCATGCCATAGGTGGCATGCAGTGCCATTTGTACCGGCACACGAGCTGCAGGCAAACTTACCTCACTGCGCATGTGCATGCCTCACAGCTAATTTTTCGGCTGGTTTGAGGCATTTTTCAGCCTCCCAAAGGCTTGAGGAAGGCTTCTGCAGGCTTCTACAAGCTTTGTAGGCCGAAATCTAGCCCCGTTTCATCATTTCCGGTATTTTCAGAAAAACAGGAAGTGATGAAACGGGGCTAGATTTTGGCCTGCAAAGCTTGTAGAAGCCTGCAGAAGCCTTCCTTAAGCCTTTGGGAGACCAATAAAGGCCTCAAACCAGCCAAAAATCAGCTGTGAGGTGCAATACAGGTTAGGGGATGGGGGAGTGGGGGATTGCACATGCATGCGTAGGGGATGTGGGGGGGTGTGCGCATTGCCTTCTGGGTACTGGCATACGAGTGTGAGCATGTAAGTGCATGCACAATTTTTGGCACAGGAGCTACCACTGTGCTATACCAATTCAGATAAATGGTTGTCTAATTACTTCTGAAAAACTTCCAGTATTGGGGTGCCCACAACTTCTGGAGACAAGTCCTTCCACTGATTAATTGTACTAAGTGTCAGGAAGTTTCTCTTTAATTCTAAGTTGCTTTTTTTCCTTGATTAGTTTCCATTCGTTGCTTCTTATCTTGCCTTCAAGTGCTTTGGAGAATTGGTTGACCTTGTCTTTTTCGTGGCAGCCCCAAGTTCAGTACCATTGAATTTTTGAAACAATCATGTTTAAATTTCCTCAAAATGCTTATTACTTGTTTGGTCATGATTTATACATATTGTAAGAAATTATTTATTACATTCTTATTTATTATTTAGTCTTGTATTATATCTTAAATTGTTTGAGATTCTAGTCTTTATGTTATTATATTACAGATAAACTACAGAGCCCGATGGTGATATAAATAGGGCACAATTTAAACTATACTTAAATTTTCCTTATTTTCCATTTGTTATATCCAGAGGGATATATACGATAATAGTAACTTTCAAACAATAATATACAGATTTGATTAAAAAAGACAGTGAAAAGTATTATTTCTTTTCTGTTTTCAAGCACACAGATTTATGTCAGTACATGGATAAACATCCTGGAGGACTTCATCCAGACAATGTGAAGGTAGGATACAATTTTTCAAATAAATATTATGTTACTGTCTTACAGTGAGCAATAATATATTGTTAATTTAAGTAGATTAATTCTACCGTTCAGAAAACAACCAGTCACCATTAGCAGTTGTGAGATTGGGATAGTTGCTGTTGTATATATTATGGTATCAGTGGCAAATGTAAATTATATATTATAGGTTATTAATATCATAATATTAATATGAAATGTAATTTACATCTTTTGCATGATGATACTATGATCATTCACCATCCCCTGCAGCTGCTAACTTGATGCCAGTAAACAATGTAGTTATTAACTTTTAATCATTAGACCTCCTCAGTAATGAAAAAACATTTGGGTTTTTAATTATATTGAGGGCTTTTTTAAAGTGGGACCATAACAACTACCTAAATTTACCTAAATTTAAATTTCTTTATTTAGTCAAATTTTCTCAGGTAAATAGACAGGTTTGCCCTGCCTACTTACATGGAAATCAGCCAAATTATTTTAGCATAAATGGAAAGTCAATTAATCGTACAGCAGTATATGTTTCAAAAACCAACATATACTATTTATACAAATATAAAATTCTTTTATGTTTTTTATTAACAAATGTCTCAGGAATGCTATGTATTATCTGACATATGCTACAGTTTTTTATGTGAGTTTGCAATATATATTTCTTTTTAAAAAATTAAATGGCTTGACCACAAAGAAGCCTGCCAAAGCATCTAGGTAGTCTTCTGGTATTTTATATGATCCATGGAGGAGAGGAAAAAGTTTATAGAACTGTTGCTGTTTATTTATTTTGCTATTATGGCAAATACAGAACATAATATAATAGAGTATAATATTAGTTGAATAAATGATTGCAAGGTGCATTTATTCCATTTAAAAACTACAGAACTTGGCAAACTCAATCACAATTCAAAATATAGAAATCTTTCCAAATCTTTGTAAGAAGAGACCTATGCAGGGTGATGTGGCAGTGGAATTTGAGATGGCTGATACTGGTTTGGAAAAGGCATGCTAGTGTATGTGAGTAGCAGGGGAAGTGTGAGCATGGCAGGACCTGTGATGTCTGCTACCAGGTGGAAGAGAGTGTGCAAGGCATATGTGGCAGGATGCACAAATATGGCAGGGCTTGCAATCACTGCTGCCATATAAGAATGGGAGCACAAGTGTATATAGGTTGCAGGGGCATGAGCGTGGTAGGCCTTGGGGTAGCTGCTAACCAAGTGGAAGAGTGTATACAAGAATGTGTGAGTCGCTGGAGAGACACAACACAAGAACTGCAAGGTTATTACTCAATGACAGAGAGCATGTAAGTAGCAGGGGGCCATAGAGTTTGTATTATGGGTTTTGGGGTGGCTATTTCTAAGTGGACGAATGCACAAGTTGCTAGGGAGGATGCATGAGTGGCGGAGGAGACACAGCATGAGTGGGTGTATGGGAGTGGTTGCAGAAGATTTGCCCAAGCAACTTGCAACCTTCCCTGCTAGTTTTCTTGTTCATTTTGTGAAACCAACAAGGGAGTCACAAGCAGTCATGTGACCATGGGATACTCCAACTGTCATAATTGATAGTTGGACGCCAACTGTCTAGATTGCAATTATGTGACTGCAGGGGTGCTAGGATGACTGGCACTTTGAATATTAATCACAACCACTACTCCTTCAGTGCCATCATAACCCTGAACGGTCAATGAGTGAGTGGCTGTTAACTGAGAACTACCTATAATATTTGACAGAATTGTACTAGCAGTTCATTCAATCAATACTATCATGCTGTAGCATGTGCCTCTAGGTACACATACTCTCCATCTTTTTATATACCCTTCAGTATGGCACGTCACAAGCAATAATATACATTTGTAAATAGTTCCAACCAGGTAAAATAAATGGCCTGATATAAAGGAAACAGCTGATATGTATTTGAATTTTCAGCAGTATGTATTACGTTTCCTTCAGAACAAACAGACTTTGATTTTTGTGCTACCTATAAAAATATTTTTAAAAGGTTTTGTAGCAACTAATTTTGTTTGTGCTATGTATTTCTGCCAACATTTTCCTTAAGTAACAGTTAAATTGCCTAAGAATATCTGTTTTTGAAAATGAATAATTGTAGCTCTTAATGACCAAATTAGATTTGTCTTCTTATAAATATTTATATTTTAAAAGCATAAGTAATTATGTTTGAAATTACAGCAAAACAATGTGGTATTAAAAAGTCCTCTGAACATGTATGCAATTCATTAATATTTGTGATGCATATTTTTCTCTTTAAAAATAAAGATATAAACATCTAAAAGTGCATATAAAGCATATTTCCAAATATTGTTTTCCAAAATATCTAATTGCTTAAAATAATATATTAACAGGCAGTGTTTATGTGGGTGGTTGTATGCTTGTTTACCTAATAATATATCTGTTAAGATAAATATTTAAATTGTAAATAAAAGGAATGATTTCCAAAATTTCTCTTATGTATGTTCAAGTACTTCTCTGCAAGGTAAGGAATGAAACAAAGACTTAATTCCAATCAACAAACTATTAATATTTTATGACCCATTGGAAAATCTGAATTTTCTTGCATAGAGAAGTACTTGAAAGATATTTATTGATTTTATTAACATGTTTTTCTTTGTCCATTCTTAGCACTCTGCCATAAAACATTTTAATGAAGTTTCATGATTTTGAGCCTATTAAACTGAATATAAGTTAGTCTGTTTTGTTTTTTTAAAAACTTTGAATAATAATTTTTAGTGAATCAGTGAATATATAAAAATAATTCTATACATAGTTTTATTTTTTGTTTGTAGATGTGGTTCAGCATTACAAACTATAAAAGTTATTTTAAAACATTATTTAAATGTATGTGGGTGGTTAATACCTATAATTGCTTCTCTTCTACTCACTAAATTTGTTTGGAAGAAATTTTGGATCCACTCTGGTAATATTTATACTTGTAACTTTTCAAATACAATGATCTTTAATTTCTATGTCAGTACATAAAAGCTGTTTTAAAAGTTAGATGGATACACATCAAAAGTTTTTAGTGTGATAGAAGTCAAATTATTAAGTCACAGGGCTAAATTTTGACATTAATTAAAGTGGATGTGCTGAACAGAATTATTTTCATTTAATGTAAATGATAAGTAGCTGTTTCCCATTACTCTTCAGAGGATAAGCAGGTGCAAAAAAGGATGGGATAATATTATGTTAAATTAAAGCTGCCTTTTTCAGAGGGCATTGAAAATTGATTTTAAATAAGCTGTTATATAGTTAAATACATAATCAATGTTCTCCTTTGTATATTTCTCTGTCATTTAGACATTAATTACAATAAACATGAATATCATCCATAAAATTGTGTATGTGCATTCACGTACACACACACAAAATGTAAATATATTATAACACAATGCATATATTTTTTTCATTTTTGTGTGTCACTTGCTCAATGAACCATCTGATGGATCTATATTATTCTGAACTGTATGGAAAAAGACGATGCCAATTTTGACAGAACCACTGATCATGAACATTAGAAAAACCATTTCACTACAATTATGAAGAGGAAATTATCAGTAGTAATAGTAGTAAATAAGTATAAAATAATTCTAATAAATCAATTCTACATTGCAAATTAAGTTTATGTTATTGTGACTACTATGATCACCTCAGTGCTTACCATTCGCCCATCATTGCTACTTTATGTTTCTGTAGGAATGTTAATCCACAATCCATTCTCTTGAAGATCTCTCTCTTCCTCTCTTTCCCTCCCTCCCCCTCCCTTTCCCCCTCCCCTTTTGTGTGTGTGTGTGTGCGCGCGTGTACAGCATTCACACAACTTTCCCTTTCCTCTGCTTCCTTTCTGTTTAAGTTGATTATAGTCTTTACTGCTGTGTTTCAATAAGGCAATTAAAGTACTTCTACTTTTTTATATGGTGCATAAATCTTTGTCTGCAGTTTTCATGGTTTTGTCACAACTTCCTCAGGATTCTTTCAAAGCCCTCTAGATCAAGCTTGTCATGGTTCAGCCAAATCCTTTTTTTAACCAATTATTTATTCTGAAGTAGAAGACAACTCAGAGATGCAAATACCACCTGAGCCCCATATTCTTGAACTTCTTGCCTAGATGTTATAAGGTGATACAGATGTAGCTGCTCTTGGCATTATCAGTTTATTTCTACAAAGATTAGTAGAGGGGATCATTGTCTGTGAATTTGATAAGCACTGGAAATTGTTCTGTCACATCCCTAATCCATGCTCCTGACAAATCGCATTCTTCACAAGTCACTGAGTTCAATCAGCATGTTTGTTTCAGCAATAAATTGTCAAATATCACAACTCTTCTTTTTACCTTCCTTCAGGATGGAGATAACATCTCTTATTCGACATACAATGAAGAGTCACTTTAATAATATGCACAGAGGCTGTCATATTTTCAAAAATAACTCTAGAGTTCTTTGTCCTGTAGCAGAATATGTTTCTCTACATATTGTTGGGAATGAAATGAGTTAATTTTTCATTCATACACTATGTTTTATCATTTATCTACTATGTATAGAAAACCCTGGTAATGATAAACTATTAAAAGAATTAGCAGAACTGACCAGTTTGAAAGCTTGGTATGATGCTTGTTGGGAAAGATACTGCTTTGATAACTTCTTGCTTGCCTTCTTCCCCTATACACTTATAGTTAGAAAAAAAAAAGCTTGGATATACATATATCCTATATCATATATCATCCCTTCACAACATTTTACCAGAAAATTCAAGTATGCTAGCTGGTTTGGCTACCAGCTGGTCTTGAAATTCTATAAAGAAAAAAATAAGAAAGTGGTTCCTCACCAGGTGAACAATCACAGTTGCAATATTTTCCCTCATAATTAAATAACTTCTTACTAGAGACGTGAACCTTTAGAGTAGACACTCACAAAATTTTTCTTCAGGATAATATTTTCTCCAACATTTTTAAATAGAATTTTTAAAAATTTGTACTGC